CTAGGATTACAGGCGCACGCCACCCCGCCTGGCCTACACTGAGAGATGACTGCTCAGTGACTAATGGGTGGGTAGCATGTACGGCATATATGCTGGACAGACAGGTGGAGCAGGACGGTGTGAGAGTCCATCACACCACTGAGAATATCAGAATGGTACACAATTTAAAACTTATGAATTGTTTATTTCTAGAATTTTCCATTTAATATTTTTGTGCAGGGGTTGACTGGGGGTGACCAAAACTGCAGAAAGCGAGATCTCGGATAACGGGGGGGGACTCTTGTACTCGCCACCCAACTGCTCGTATTATTAATCGCAAGCCATTTGAGCGTGTTTCTCATCTGAACATACGACAAGGGAAAAGAGTTAATTTCCCTTTATCCATAAGTAGAGTATTCGTTTTATAGGTTACTTTTACCAGTTAAAAACCTATCTAGTTCTTTTCTATGAAGGATGACAGTGTAGCGTAGGGGGCATGATGGGCTTTGAAGTCTGTAGTTGGGAACCTCAGTCAAATGACACACACTCTTTTTGAGCTGAGGATAATTATGGTACCTTTGCCTCACAGGGCTGTTGCAAGGATTAACTATCAATATCATCTGTTTAGTCTCTGGGATCATATCATATCCTTCTCCATTACCATCCTTTGATGGTTTAATGCCAAATTTACCTTTGACGCAAAAAAAAAAAAAAATTATGATGGGGCCGGGCGCAGTGGCTCACGCCTGTAATCCTAGCACTCTGGGAAGCCCAGGCAGGAGGATCGCTCGAGGTCAGGAGTTTGAGACCCTGTCTCTACTAAAAATAGAAAGAAATTAATTGGCCAACTAAAAATATATAGAAAAAATTAGCTGGGCATGGTGGCGCATGCCTGTAGTCCCAGCTACTCGGGAGGCTGAGGCCGGAGGATCGCTTGAGCCCAGGAGTTGGAGGTTGCTGTGAGCTAGGCTGATGCCACGGCACTCTAGCCTGGGTGGCAGAGTGAGACTCTTTCTCCAAAAAAAAAAAGATCTTGATGGGTTCAAAAGCCAAGTAGAAACAATCCTAAACATGTTAAGTCTAGCTGAAATACTGACTTAGTCTAAGTAGCATTCCACACTGGCCACTGTGCTGCCCTTTCCCCACTCATTTGGAGTTGGTAACATTACTAAAGACTTCAAAGTTGCTGTGAGAGGAACAGAGAGAAAATATACTTTTATCCTCAAAAAATTCCAGACGTTTCTTCAGTGTGTTTAAGTATTTTAACGCGTGGGTTGAAGTTCTATCATGATCTGCAAAATATAGCGTATCCTCTTGACAGAATGGATCAGAAGGAAACTGCATGTGGAAATGAATCAGAAGGCACCGCAGCCCGAATGTGCCCAACTGGGGCAGGGGTGTATTCAGGGAGAGGAGTGAATGAGGCACTCACTGTCACACTGGCCCGACCGGGGAGTAGATTCTGGAAGAGAGATTACAGTTCTGCAGTGACAGATCTCCAGCCAGAATCAGTGAGCGGTTTTCTGGCTAGAAGAAATTGAGTAAGTTGGACTTGTGTATCCGGTGGTTTAATTCTCTGTCAGCGTTCACATTGCTGAATAGTAGCTCTGCCTTTGCAGCCGCAGGTTTTGTCGTGGTGACGGTGGCTCCATGTCTGTCTTGGTGGCTGTGTGATGGGACAGGAATTGCTTTGTCTAGAGCTTGACCCCACTGGGAGTTAAATGGTCATTGGAATCTAGATGCTCCCTTTTGAGATTTCTCAGCTGTACTGAAGACTAATTCCGGAGGGTTGCTAGTGACAGATTTTTGGGGTGACAAAATCTGACAGATCAGACAGAGACAGTGTCCTGTCAGGACAGTGGGCACTAGTGTTGTGTTAGGCCGTATGCTAACATCCCGGCAGGAAAGGCTACAGTTGGCAGCAGGAAGGTACTTAGAGGTGGACATCAGTCTCGAGTGAGGTATCAGGCCTGGGAGGACAGAAGGGCCGCCCCAGTCCTGGAACCTGGGCAAGGTCAGAGTAGAGTCTCAGTCCCTTTGAGCTACTTTGTTTAGGGATTCCTTGTATTTTGCAAAGTAAAGACACGACTGTTCGACTGTTCGTGCCTGGGGCCAGGCTGAGCTGGGAAATACAAGATAGACAATGGGAACAACAGGAATTACAGCACCCTTCTATTTACTCTGCATGGTGATTTCTCTGACATGAGCATATTTTCAGTTGCTTATTTTTAAAAAAACGTTCTATGGTTTTCAAGTAATATATTTATGCAAACTGTGTTTAGATCAAATAGCAGGTCCGTCCCCACCCTTGAATCTTACTCCCAGGGGCTATCATTTCAACTCTTTAACTGTTTCTTTTGGTATTTACCTTCATGTTCCTAAATAATGTGTTTATAAAGCTATTTTGTGGTCGTTTTCATGTTGGATATAATCTTGAAACTTCACACCAGGGAAAGTGAGAATTCTTTTGTATTCTCTTCCTGCCCTTTCCTCTTTCTCACCCAAAACACTCATCCTTCCCCACGTAATCTTTTAAATCAATTTTGACTCTTCAATTATTAACTAGATATATTATTTTTTTTTTGGTTATTATGATTTCATGTACCATGATGATTGCTTTTCTTTCCTATAAAACATTTAGATTTTCTTGAAGTTAATTACATCATTTTCTCCTTTTACATAGCAAACTCTATACTCTCTGATAGCATTATACAACTTACTGTAAAACCCATCAGCTAATATTTCATTTTTCATCTTGGAGACATCCCTCCCACTTTGCTTTGTAAGCCTGCTACGTAACTCTCTTAGAGATGTTCTTCACCTCCTTCCTGTGTAAGATTCTTGTTTTCAGGATCCTGAATTCTTTATTTTGGAGGCACACCTTCTAGTAGCTTTCTGAGAAAAGCAGTGTGTGTGGGGGGAATAAAATATTTTGAGGGCTTTTACATGCCTGAAAACTGTCCTTTATCTCCCCCGCCCCCAACATTTGATTCATGGTTGCTTGGGGATAGAATTCTCGATTGGAAGTCATTTTCCTTCAGAATTGTGAAGACTTTGAGCAGTTGTCTTACAGTTTTCCTTGTTGCTTCTGAGAAATCTGATACCATTCTCATTTCTGTTCTATGGTACATAAACTGTTGTTTTCTTTTGGAGAAACTTTTCAAATCTTTCTTTTCCTGAAACTTTAAGACAAAGTGCCCTGAAGTAGGTTTTTTTGTTTTTTTTTTTGAGACATAGTTTCACTTTGTTGCCCAGGCTAGAGTGCCGTGGCGTCAGCCTCGCTCACAGCAACCTCAAATTCCTTGAACTCAAGCAATCCTCCTGCCTCAGCCTCCCGAGTAGCTGGGACTACAGGCATATGCCACCATGCCTGACTAATTTTTTCTATATGTATTACTTGGCCAATTAATTTTTCTATTTATAGTAGAGACGGGGTCTCACTCTTACTCAGGCTGGTTTCGAACTCTCCTGACCTCGAGCAGTCCGCCCCCCTTGGCCTCCCAGAGTGCTAGGATTACAGGTGTGAGCCACCGTGGAACTGTTGGTTTTCAAATGGTGGACCTCTTGGAGCAAACCCATAATTTCTTCTCCTTGTTCCCCTCCAATTTGTTCTTTGCCTTTTTGTTCCATTGCTTAGAAAATTTCATCAATTCTAATTTCCAATCCTGCTTTTGAAGCTTTTTTTAAAAAATGAAAACAGCCATATTTTTAGCTTCCAAGTTATTTTTGTTTTCTGTTTGAATAATACTTTTCTCTAGCACTCTCTGGCTAGTTCATGGATTGAAACATCTTCTTTTATTTCTCTTAAGTAAGGGCTTTTTAAAAAACTTTTTGCTCCCTGCATGATCTTTTTCTTCAGAGTTCATTTTCTTCTGTTTGTGTTGCTCTGTCTTTCACGTTAAAGTTTTTCTCATAAAACAGGCCATCCTGTGTGGCCTTTCATTTGTAAGAGTGAGAACTGAATGTGAGTGGAGCTGTGGTCAGTCTTACTTACTGTTGGGAAGCTGGACATTTCATTGAGGGACTCTCAGATGTCGGTATCTGTGGTCTTTTCTTTTAGCCAATTTTCCCAGAAAGAAATCCGCCTGTTTGCTGGCTGGATACTTCCAAGATTGTGTTCTGGAACTGAGAGGAGAAAGGAGTTTTGAATTCTGAACATGCGTGGAGTGGGGAGTGAGTCTCATTTTGTTCCAAGCAGAATTTCACTGGTCCCATTACTTTTAGGGATAGGCCTCATTTCCACTCCCATTTGGGCCTCCCTGATTTAATGTCTCCAAGTAATAAACCCCTAGCCTTCTCGCTGGGTAGAGAATACCAGGCACGTGGCCGCATAAGGTTTCAGGGAATGTTTGTGGAATTGGGGTGTGTGCCATGAGCACAGCGTAGCTGGCATCATAAATTAATAGTGTTTAGAGATATATAAAATTTATAATCTCATATGAGATTCATATATATGAGACCACGTATGTAGTGGTTCTCCAATTCACTATTGCAGGGATGTGGAAACAACCCAAGTGCCCGTCATTGCATGAGTGATTGATTAAAATTGTATATGTTTACAATGGAACATTAGCTCAATTCATAAGAAACGACATTGCCGCTTATATTATCCTGGATTAAGCTTAAGCCCATTATCCAAAGTGAGGCAGCACAAGATCAGAAGAATGGGCTCCACGTGCACTCGCCATCAAATTGGTACTGACTGATTAACACTATGGTGCTCAAAGGGTGGTGGTGGTGTTCACCAGGGATTGGGGGGTTAGGGGAGGTAGACCCACATCTGAGGGATGCGGTGAGCATTGTGGAGGGGAAGGGCATACCTCTAACCCTTGCCAGGGAGAGGGCAAAGATATAAAATGCAACCAAAATATTTGTACTTTAATATTTTCTTGAAATAAAATAAAATTAAATTAAAAAAAGAATAAAATTAACAAAACAAAACAAACCCCAAAACTGCCTGAGGGGAGAATTCTGCATGAAGATTTCTGGGCTATGCATTTTCCTCCTCTGGTCTCTTCCAGAACAAATCGGAGCGTTGGCAGATGAGCACATCATTCACGTGGCGTGTGGCGAGTCCCACAGTCTGGCCCTCAGTGACCGTGGCCAGCTGTTTTCTTGGGGTGCAGGGAGCGATGGTCAACTAGGACTCATGACGACTGAGGACTCTGTGGCAGTGCCCAGGTAAGAATGGCACAGACAGGAATCCAGGTTTCAGATGTCAGTTGTTTTCATATACTGTTTCCTGCTGGTGCCGCCTTAACTCCTTGTTTTTGTTCTGCTCTCTTCATTTAATCAATTGCTGTTTCCTTTGTGCTCCTGCTTTGCCTTGGACTGTTAACAGCACTTGTCACAAAAATTGTGATTATTTACAGAAGTGTATATCACCGGTTCAAAAACGTGAGCCGATCGGGAACTGTCCATGGTTTGTTCCGATAGCCTGGTTGCTAGCTGCGTGCCTGGCACCCCATAAATGCTTGACTGAAAAGGGCACCTTTTTCCTATCCCACACTTATTAACTCTCAGCCTAAAATTGCAGGTCTCAATTATTCAATTAAGCACTTTAAAATAGAATCACAAAGCTGACCTATTACTCTAATAATAGGCCGAATCACCTTAAGCATTATAAATAGCTAAAACACCAAATATACAGAGATTCTTTGTGTCTCTTAAATATTAATAATTACTTAGATATAAATGTTAGATAATTTAGCTAATATTTAATAGTTGCTTCGCCACTAAGAAAACATCCAAAATATCAAAGTTACTTTCAGATGGACTTTTTGGGGGTGATGTCCCAGTTTGTGGAGGGTTCTTTTTTTTTTTTTTTTTTTTTTTTTATTTCAGCATATTATGGGGGTACAGATTTTAAGGTTTCAATAAATGCCCATTTCCCCCCCTCCCCCCGCAAGTCTGAGTCTCCAGCATGACCATCCCCCAGATGGTGCACATCTCACTCATTATATATGTATATACCTGCCACCCTCCCCCCTGCCCAATACCCTATTACTGCAGTACCTATGTGATCACTTAGGTGCTGTTCAGTTAATACCAATTTGCTGGTGAGTATATGTGGTGCTTGTTTTTCCATTCTTGGGAAATTTCACTTAATAGTATGGGTTCCAGCTCTAACCAGGAAAATATGAGATGTGCTATATCACCATTGTTTCTTAGAGCTGAATAGTACTCCATGGTATACATATACACATTTTATTAATCACATTCTTGGGTTGATGGGCACTTGGGCTGTTTCCACAGCCTTGCAATTATGAATTGTGCTGCTATAAACCTTCGAGTGCAGGTGTCTTTTTTGTAGAGTGTCATTGGATCTTTTGGGTAGATGCCCAGCAATGGGATTGCTGGATCAAATGGTAGATTCACTTGTATCGCTTTAAGGTATCTCCATATTGCTTTCCACAGAGGTTGAACTAATTTGCAGTCCCACCAGCAGTGTAGGAGTATAGAATTTTTTTATTTCCATCTTGATTTCTTCATTTATGAAGTAATCATTTAGTAGGAGGTTGTTTAATTTCCACGTTTTTGTGTAGAAATGTGAGTTTCTGTTAGGGTTGATTTCTACTTTTATTCCACTGTGATCTGAGAAGGTACATGGTATGATTTATATTTTTTAAATTTCTTGAGATTTACTTTGTGTCCTAGGATATGGTCAATCTTAGAGAATGTCCCGTGAGCTGATGAGAAGAACATATATTCAGTGGATTTTGGGTAGAATGTCCTGTAGATGTCAGTCAGACCCAGTTGTTCCAGGGTTTTTTTAAGTCCATTATTTCTTTATTAATTTTCTGTTTGGAGGATCTGTCTTGTGCGTCAGTAGGGTGTTGAAATCTCCGGTGATTATGGAGTTGCTATTAATCCTTTTGCTTAGATCCAGTAAGGTTGCTTTATGAAACTGGGTGCACCTAAGTTGGGTGCATATATATTTAAAATTGTTATCTCTTCTTGTTGAAGTGTGCCCTTCACCATTATATAATGACCCTCTTTGTCTTTCACTACTTTTGTTGGTTTAAAAACTAAATCGTCTAAAATTAGAACTGCCACGCCAGCCTTCTTTTGGCTTCCATTTGCCTGGAATACTGATCTCCACCCTTTTACTTTTAGTCTATATGCATCCTTGCAGGTTAGATGTGTTTCCTAGAAGAACAGCATAGAA